AAATCATCTTAACGAAAATCCACATGATATATACAACGCCGAGGTTTTGGGAATTTTGGGTTATGGGCTTAGTGAGAGATTAAATATGTTGTATTTAATACGCTTTTATGTAAATTACAAAATCACACATCAATTTACATACATCCGATTTTGCAGATGAGTGCTTAAAAATTATGTTTTAAATATATCTTATAATAGTTTTTAAGGAAAATTTAATATACATATAATAAAATAGTAATGTTATAAAATCATCTTAACAAAAACTAAAATTTATTAAACAAAATCATATGTTTTGGGAGTTTTGAATTGGTGGGTTAAGTGTGAGAATAAATTTGGTTTATTTAATACGCTTTTGTGTAAACTTAAAAAATTACACGTAAGGTAGTATTATTAGACATCAATTTACACGTATCCGATTTTGCGGTTGTTTACTTAAAAATAAAGTTTTTAATAAATTTTATGATTATTTTAAGGGACAATTTTAATCAATTATTATTACACACAATTGTCATTTAATCATCTTACCAAAACATGAATGGAATAAACAAAAATCTCTGTTTTTCGACTTTTGGTTTAGTGGGTTTAGTGTGAGATTAAATTTGGATTCTTTAATAGGATTTTATGTAAACTTACAAAATTACACGTAAGGTAGTATTATTACAAATCAATATAGACATATCCGCTTTTGCGGTTGTTTGCTTACAAATTATCTTTTTAATAAATCTTATGAATATTTTTATGGACAATTCAAATCAATTATTATTACACAATAATGTCATAAAATTATCTTAACAAAACCTAAATGGTATAAACAAAAATCTCGGTCTTTAGACTTTTGGTTTAGTGGGTTTATTGTGAGATTGAATTTGTTTTATTTTATTCGATTTTATGTAAACTTACCAAATTACACGTAAGGTATTATTACACATCAATATACACCCATCCGATGTTGCGGTTTTTTTTTAGAAATTATGTTGTTAATAAATTTTATGATTACTTTTAAAAACAATTTAAATTAATTATTATAACACACTTATTTCATAAAATCATCTGAACAATCTCACGAATGGATTATACAAAAACATCGGTTTTTAGACTTTTGGTTTAGTGAGTTTAGTGTGAGAATAAATTTGGTTTATCTAATAGGATTTTATGTAAACCTATAAAATGACACATAAGGTAAAATTATTATACATCAATATACACATATCCGATTTTGCGGTTGTTTGCTTAAAAATTATGTTTTTAGTAAATTTTATGATTGTTTGAGGGAGAATTTCAATCAATTATTATTACAGAATAACGTCATAAAATAATCATAACAAAACCTGAATGGTGTAAACAAAAATCTCGGTTTTTGGACTTTTGGTTAAAAGGGTTTAGTGTAAGATTAAATTTGATTTTTTTAATAGGGTTTTATGTAAACTTGAAAATTACACGTTAGGTAGTATTAGTACACATCAATAAACACATATCTGATTTTGCGGTTGGTTGATCACAGATTATGTTTTTAATAAATTTTAGGATCATTTTAAGGAACGATTTAAATTAATTATTATTACACTCTAATGTAATAAATTCATCTCAACAAAAACTTGCATGGATTAAGTAAAATTCTTGGATTTTGGACTTTTGATTAAGTGGGTTTAGTTTGAGATTTAATTTAGTTTATTTAATAGGATTTTATGTTAACTTACATAATTACACGTAAGGTAGTATTAATACACATTAATTTACATATATCCGATTTTGGGGTTGTTTGCTTACAAATTATGTTTTAATTAAATTCTATGAGTATTTATATGGACAATGTAAATTAATTAATATTACACACTAATTTTAAAAAATCATCTGAACAAAATCCCGAATGGACTATACCAAAACATAGGTTTTTGGATTTCTGGTTTAGTTGGTTTATTGTGAGATTCAATTTGGTTTATTTGATAGGATTTTATGTAATCTTACAAAATGAGAGGTTAGGTAGTATTATTACACATCAATTTACACATATCCGATTTTGCAGTTGTTTGCTTACAAATTATGTTTTAAATAAATTGTATGATTGTTTTTAAGGACAATTAAAATGAATTATAATTCTAAACTAATGTCCTAAAATTCATCTTACCGAAAACTTAAATGGATAAAACAAAAATCCTTGTCCCTGGACTTTTGTTTCGTTGGTTTAGTGTAAGATCAAATTTGCTCTATTTAATACGATTTTATGTAAACTGAAAAAATTCTACGTAAATTAGTCTTATTACACATCAATTTACACATAACTGCTTTTGCAGTTCTTTGCTTGCAAATTATGTCTTTAATAAATTTTATGAATACTTCGAGGGACAATTTAAATCAATTATTATTAGACACTAATATCATAACATCATCTTTACAAAAACCAGAATGGATTAAACAAAAATCTCGTTTTTCGGACTTTTTGTTTAGTAGGTTTAGTGTGAGATTAAATTTGGTTTATTTAATAGGATTTATGTAAACTTACAAAATTACATGAAAGCTACTTTTATTTCACATCAATATACACATATTCGATTTGCAGTTATGTGCTTACAAATTATGTTTTTAATAAATTTTATGCTTATTGATATGGACAATTTAAATCAATTTATATTACACACTAATGTCAAAAATCATCTTCACAAAATCTGACTAGATTAAACTAAAATCTTGGTTTTTGGACGTTTTGTTTAGTAGGTTTATTGTAAGATTTTATTTGGTTTCTTTATAGGATTTTATGTAAACTTACAAACTTACACGCAAGATAGTATTAATACACATCAATATCCACATATCCGATTTTATGGTTGTGTGCCTACAAATTATGTTTTTAATAAATTTATGATTATTTTTAAGAACAATATAAATTAAATATTATTACACTAATGTAATTAAATCTTTCTTCAAAGTCTTAATGAATTAATGAAAAATCTAGGTTTTTGGACTTTTTGTTTGTGGATAAGCTGTTAGATTTAATTTGGTTTCTTTAATAGGATTTTATGTAAATTTACA